ATTGATCAAAATGTGTTTCGAGAAGAAAATTATTGTTATCCATTTAGCATTTGTTTTTAACTACTAAAATATAGAATCCATATAATTCATTATACGTTTTATTAATGTGCTTTCTACTTGTTAATTATTCGGATTTTATTGCGTTTTTTATCACATATTACAGTTATCTTTAGTATCGTACTTCAGAAATCCTGCATCAAATATTCCTTCCGGTAATACACCCGTTATAGAGAATTTCCTAAAGTCATAAGGATTAATTAATCGGTGTTTTCACTTTGATTTATTTTGTGTAAAAATGACAGGAAAATAAACTACTGACTTTCGAATTTGAAAAGCAAAAACCAACAAATGTAGCTGTTTATAAAAATAAGTAAAGTAAAAAAAGCTGGTAAGAAGCCGTATACTAACAAGGACAGCTAAAACAAACATACTTTTAAAAAGTAGAAATGTTCCCTCCATCAAGAATCTTTTTTATTTCTATTCTCGGACAAAAATCCTAGAACAAAATAACCTGTGTACATCGTCAACCAGTTTTCAGTGACCATACAAAAAATTACGGTAATTGAGCCAACTAACTCTGGGTGATGTATGCTAACACATACATAATGTATCATTTTTATGGTAAAATGGTTATTTATATATATATATATAATTTCAAAGAGCGATTAATTTGAAATAAACATTGTTTTTCCTATTTTAAAAGAATGCATTAACCCTCGAATTTCCAAGTTCTCTTTAATACAAGTGTGACGTAAGTTTTATATACTGAAAGTTCAAAAACGATTGATTATAAGTGAACCATTTGGTCTGGTGATCATAAAATATTACAAGAAATACTAATACAATAGGTAAGCAAGTACTATGAGTTAAGTTTGTGTAATGTGTAAGGCTTAATAAACGTACCTGACACCAACATCGTTACATCGCTTCACCATATCTCGAAACTCGTTTTCTCCGCCACTTCGAGTGTAGTTCAGTTTATAGCTTACTGGTTGGTAACGCTCAAACCATGGTCTTTTGACCTCAAGCTTCCAGTCTGGAGCCCACACAATTCCGTTTTCATTTGGCGGGGATACCTGAAAAGAACGAATATTTGATCCTAAAATTGAAACTACAGTATCTTTGTTAACTAGAATAATTACAATACTTAATTAGTAATTCATAATAATTCTGTTTATATACCAAATAACTATCACAGCACTTCATATATATAGTCCTTATTAGTTCACTGATGATTTTATTTATAATTTAAGTACATAGCAAATTGAATATATAATAAATAAACCTAAAGTGTGCGACGTTTGTTTCATGATACTCAGTGTTGGACAAAAAGTCTAAATGCATTTTGAGATAATTTGTGCTAAGTTTTGTTAAACTGTATTTAAATGATCTCCTGAGAATATTTTTCTATGTGTGAATATTGTAAAATTTCCAACTTATGAGTAATAATGCCTATAAGTAGAATCCATGAAATCAATGTTTACACACTCACAAATGCTGTAAACTATATATAGTTTTAAGTGAGAGATCCACTAAAAATCCAATACCTGCAGCGAGTAGTTGACTAATTGACTACAATGATATTACTAGAAGTACGTTAATACACATAGAATGATTTAAAAGATCTGGTAATTGTACTTCATCCAATCATTTATGCACAAATATACACCGTCTGTGGCTTAATGTTGAGATCCAGAGCTAATTACTCGGATATTTTCAGTATTGTGAAGTGTTAACTTTTAATCTAAGTTTGATAAAGTCAATAATTAAATATTCATCCTTAGAATAGAATTAACAAACTGAGCGTACTTCAGATAAATTGTATTTATATAGATGCGTAAAACTAAATTTATTGACATAAGGTCCGTTACCAAAACAGACGTCCAAAATATATGCAAATTAACTGTGGTTTTTAGTTCTTATTAATTTCATCTATAATTTTTGGTTTAAACTGTAAGACAGTTTCAGCAATTATAACAACAAATACATTTGTTAATACAAGAATAACCTAAAGAAAAGCAGTAATATTACTAACATATTGATTTGGGTCGTATCCTCATTCTGTTTATGTATGATAATATAATGTACTAAGTAAATCCTCATTCTGTTTAAGATTAATAATATTAGGGATTATATAGAACAACTTTGAAATGTGTGTATACGGAAGCATTTTAATGTCATAGAATTCACATCTTTATTACTACATTTTGATCCCAACAAATAGATTTTAAAACTCAAAGGATTAGAAGACTGGCCCACAAATGGTAAATCACAACAGTTTAAAAGCAAACATTTTAACTTACAAATACGAGACATTTTCATACAATAGGATGTTCGAAACTTAAAACAACATATTCGAGGCATTGTTTCCCAATACAGAGATTTTATATTTCAGCAAAATAAATTACATTTAACTAGCTAAACAGTTGTATTTTTAACTCAACTCAGTAACCTATGGTCATTAGAAAATTGTTGAGCCTTTATTAGAGCAATGAAAATGGAAATTTTAATTATGCCACGATGTTAGGAACACATGAAATTTCAAAAAAATCAATTAAACAAAAATACGAAACCCTATAACCTGGTCGCTTTCAAAAGTTGGATCGTTTTTCATTGGGAACAATCTGTTTATCTTAATGAAGAAACGTCCATCTATCGGAAGCGTTTGGGTTATAGGTTTTCGTATTTTTGTCATTAATAATTATGTGGTACTCTCACATTCACTGATTTTAATTCCAGTAATCAGATAGAAGACGCAGAGTAATAAGAGGCTCACCAGAAAATGTTTTATTGACCATAATATGAATTCTCTTAACCTCACTTGAGCTTGAAACAATATACCCGAGTCGCATGCGTGGAATTAGGTTTTGTTTGTTTAATTTCGCACTAAGCTACTCGAGGGCTATCTGTGCTAGCCGTCTCTAACTTTAAGTGGTAAACTAGAGAGAAGGTAGCTAGTCAATACGAACAGTCGCAAATTCTTAATTTACTTTTTACCAACGAAAAGTGGGATTGGCTCTTAGATTATAATGCTCCCCATGGCTGAAAAGGCGAGCATACTTGGGAATGAGTTTCGATCCCGAGACCTGTATATTCCAAATCGCACGATCTAGCCACTGGACCATACTAAACCCGCATGAAAATAGAATTTAAGATTTTTTGCAAATGAAAGTAAATCGCCGAACAAAGGTGCCAAACTATAATACTGGCAAAAAGTGTTACATGTTAGATACAAGGATAATTAACAAGAAGAAGAATGTATTATTACCCTTATATTATGTACATATATACTAGAGTGTGTGTGTGTGCGCGTGACAAATACGCACCCATAAATAATTGTTTGAATTTAAACGTGATAACTGGCTGATCTATTTTCTTCTTTTTAATATCCGAGCAAGTTAGATGAGGTTAAGGTTGTTTAAGGTCCAAGTGACTGACTTCACTCTTAGATAACTATTTCATGTCGAAGAACATCTGCTCTTATCGATAAAGCTACAGGTTTACATCCTGTTCAGATAAAACGTTTACATCTCATTTTCTTGCTCTCTGAATTGTTGTGCTTGCTAATTCAAGGATTACTAGAGCTGGCCACAATATAGACTAATTTGATGACTTCGTTTTTTCCTTAAAGCTTATTGGTTAAAATAACTAATCAGTGGGTCACAACCAATATGAGTTACTATATAACCAATCAAACTTTATGTTGACTAATAGTTTGTTTAGTTTAGCCACTTTTTTCATCTTCTTTTGAACCGCTTTTTGGATCATAATAAAACCCATTTAGAACCTTATTCCATTGACAGTTTTTGTTTCATGTTGTGTTTTACTGTACTTACGTTTCCTAACTTTATATTATTCTATACTTATCTTGTAATTGAAACATTATTTTTATTTTCTTTGAATGCGTATTTATATGTACAAGTCAGTTTTAGCACCGGATATCTAACGTTATTTGATACGACAAAATTTTTTGTCTGTCACAACTATACATAAAGACATCACAGACCGGATTTTCTAAGCAAGAAATTGATACATGTACGTAGTTAAATTATATATAATATCTGGTTTCCTGTTAGTGCTAGTGTTTTCTCTAAGATAAGAGAATTATATAATATTTAATCAATACGGATTTTTTTTAAATGTTACAAGTAAAGTTAATACTAATACCATCTTCAATTTTAAGCGCTTACTAAAAGATACAAAATTTACCTTGTTGTTATTTTGTCGAGAAATTTCAAAACGTTCTCAAAAATTAATATATTTGAGAAAGAATAAATCGATTCTTTTACTTATCGTGGAACTTGTTATTTTCTATTTTTCTAAAACTTCCATGTTACAATATGCTATGATCGCGAGTATATAGAATAACTACATAAATGTGTATATATATATACATACATACATAGCAAATAACACACACATACACGAATATATGTACGTATATACATGTTTACACTTTTTAACTATGGTTTATTCATACCCACCTTCATTTTGATTATAAATTTTGAGGTTAGATATATATGTATGTATATAAATTTTTAAACTAAAATACATTTTTATTTAAATTTTTAACTAATTTTTACCTAAATTCTTAACTAGGATGACCGTATTTTGATGCATTTTTTGGGGGGGATGCTTTAAATATGTGAATAAAAGTCGCATATGAAAATACGATAGACAGATTATGACTCAATATCATACTTGAACCAGAAACTTTTATTTTACAATTAAGTAATACCTATCGCTCCCAATGAAGTTATACGTTTTATTTAACCAATATGTATGTAATATTAATCTACTAAGTCACAAATAGAATTTAATACAAATGAAATATGAGTTGTTGTTTTTTCTTTTGAATAAATATAGAATTTTTTAAACTTATCCAATGTTCAGAGTAAAATAATAATTCACACTAGATATATTAATTGGATATTTTCAATTTAATCACGAGGTTTAGTTTTCAGCTTGAAAAAGAAATCTAAAAATTTACCTTTTAAGATTGTTATTTAATTCCTTAAGAATCATATCTTTAGTATTGATGTTTCACGTTTGTTTTCTACATTTCAGATATGTTTGCAATACAATAACAGACTCGTAGTTCTACTAAAATTTGATCTACTCAAAAAAACTGATTTGTTTTACGTTATGGAAACGTCGCTTCTAAACAAAATCTGTGCATTTCAATTTTGAAATTAAAAATAACTAAACATATGATTAAGTTAACTTATACATTTCCACATCACCAGCCGTATTGTGTTTAGGTAAAGTCGTAATGTATATTTTGTATCATACCTGAACTCCTCCGTACCCATACGGGCCTAAAAACACTTCACATTCTTCAGCTATGTCTGCCCACCTCCATTCGAATAAATGGGCGATACTTGACCGGCCATCTGCTGTTTTCGGGTCGTGGTAGTTTGCGCTGACCAGTGATGCTAATAGCAAACCAATAATTTCAATTACTACTCTAATCATGTTGCCAAAGGCACGCAAGGATCAAACCATACAGTTACTCATTGATTGGTGCGGCAGTATCTGTATTTATATATTTCAAATTAATAGATGGAGCCACCATTTGGTTAAACTTAATGAACATCTTGTAGTAAAATAACATTTTAAGAACGGTTTTTCTCGTAAATGTTTTGGCAAGACTATTTTCACATATTACTACTTAAGGGCGCAATCTTTTTTATTTCAACAGAATTTTAAAATATTTTCACGGTTCCTACAATTTTTCATTGTGTCGAATAGCAGAATCACATAATCTACATTAAATTAATTATGGACGTCCACTAAATAATATTTTTCATGTTGATCTCCATTAGTGTTACATTGGAGCGCTCTGCTCCCTTCAACCTGCAATTGTAATAACATATATATTACTTGCATTCATTACTTGTATTCCCACGTGTTTTATAAACGTTTCATCGGGAATAAAGCAAATTTTCATCCATGTTATGAATCAAACTTAATAGATACAATTGTTAGTCAAATCCAATAGAATTGAATTCATAAATATCCCACAAATAACATATATGAGTGTCATATATCACTGCCAAAAATATGGATGTTATTAATATGTCTGAGTGATGCAAAACATTAGATGTGATCATACTCATATAATGCCATAAATAGTATTACATTTGTCACAGTCAATGAATAATTCTTGTCTGTTTTTTGTGCTATTACGATATAAATTGATGCTGCTAACTAACTAAAACAGCAACAACTTCTCACTCCTTCCATATGTTGTGAAATGTCATAGCTAGTTGATAGTCTTGTTATTGGTTTTCCTGCCACCACATATTGTGAAATGTCATAGCTAGTTGACAGTTTTGTTATTGGTTTTCCTGCTACCACATATTGTGAAATGTCATAGCTAGTTGATAGTCTTGTTATTGGTTTTCCTTCCACCATATATTGTGAAATGTCATAGCTAGTTGATAGTCTTGTTATTGGTTTTCCTGCCACCACATATTGTGAAATGTCATAGCTAGTTGATAGTCTTGTTATTGGTTTTCCTGCCACCACATAT